GACCGAGAGGGACCCCCTTCCCTGGCTGTGGCCGAGGTGGGGGGGGGGTCGTGGGAAGGCGGCCCACCTGGGATCAGAGTCAGACCTTCCGGCCCCGAACGAGACCCGGATCCGGAGCCCCCAAAGTTTGTCGCCTTGAAGGAGGAAGGAGAAGAAAGTGAAAGAGAAAGAGGGAAATCGCGGCGTTTTCGGTCCTAAATCTGCGCAAGGAAAAGCCGCGTAAGAAAAAGATGCATTTGGGAAAAAACCTTTTTGCACCTTCAGAAACTTCACTTTTTCTTTATAAATCTCTAATTATAGTGTTTTAAGATCAGACAAGAGTTGAATTTGGATCCCTTGTTGGGGGAGCCTCTCAATTTGGAAAGGAGACCCAGCCCCCCCATAATTCCCTTCCACCGAATCTGGGTCTGAGGGGGGAACCACGGGGGGAACTGAGGAGGAAGGATGTTGGGGGGAGAAGTAGACTGGAGACCCCCCTTTGAGTTGCTCCTGGGGGCTCTTGAGGAAAGGCAGGTAGAAGGGCTGAATGTTGGGGGGAGAAGAGAAGTTTGGGGAAAGCAGGGAAGGTGGGGGGTTCAGGCGAGGGAGGGGCTGGGAGACCCCAGGATCATTGGTCCAGACACCCTCATTGTGCCCCCGCCCCATATTCCCCCCCACCAAGGAAGAGGGAGACCGAGGTATGGATCTTACTTTCGCTGCAGCCCTGAGAGTTTCTGCATCTCTTCACCCCCTCCCCCCATTTTTCTTGCTGTTTTGGGGGGCAAAGAGGCGCCATCCGGATCCAACATTTCCTGCAGAGAGTAGGGCGTTCTGCTGCACCATTTGCACGTCTGCCTGCCTTTCTTCAGGGTGGGAGGATGGAGGGGGCCCAACAGGAAGCTCCTCCCCCTCCCCTTCTCTCATCCCCCTCCAGACCCCCAGCAACTCCCCATCTCCCCCAGGGAGCCCCAGTGGGACTGACAAACCTCCCCCTCCATCCTCCAGGGGGTGTCTTGAGGGAGCGACAGCCCTGTAGGGTTGGCCGCTGCTGCTGAAGGAAGGCGATGGAGCTTCTCCCGCTTGGGGCGGATTGGCTCCTTCCTCCCCACACCCCCAATGGTGGGGCATGGAGTGGATTGGGCCAGGGGTCTCTTGGCAGCCCCCTTGTGTCCCCTCCTGCACTATGGGCCCTGGACTCCCTCTTGACAGCCTTCCTCCTCCTCCTCCTCCTCCTCCTCGCAGCCCATTTCTTGTACCAGTGGAAGGCTGAGTGCCACTTCTTCAACGGGACGCAGCGGGTGCGATTGCTGGACAGGTACTTCTACGACCAGCAGGAGTTTGTCTGCTTCGACAGCGACATCGGGAAGTACGTGGCCGTCACCGAGTTCGGGCAGAAGGATGCCGACTATTGGAACAGCCTCCAGGACTCCCTGCAGGACCGGAGGGCCGCCGTGGATTACTTCTGCCGATGCCACTACGGGGCTTACACCTATCA